TGGAGTCAGAGATAAAGCTGGCCCAGAATAAAAAAAAAAAAAAAAAAAAAGGAGCAGTTGGGAGCTTCAGTCACCCACCAGCCTGAAAACAGCCCTCAGCCCCTCACCCAGACTGGCCAGGCACCCCAGTGGGGACCCCCACCCTGAAGGGGGTGTGACCAGCTGCAAACAGCCATCATCCCCTCATCCAGGCTGGCCAGGCACCCCAGTGGGGATCCCCACCCTGATCCAGGACACCCTTCAGGCCAAACCAGCCAGCCCCCACCCATGCACCAGGCCTCTATCCTATATAGTAAAAGGGTAATATGCCTCCCAGCACCAGGATCAGCGGAGCCGCGAGGCCTCCTGGCACTGGGATCAGCGTGACAGGGGGCAGCGCCCAAACCCCCTGTCGCCCTGCAGCTCTGTGTGTGACAGGGGTGGGGCCACAACCTCCCTATCCGGCCTGCTCTGTTCGTGACAGGGGAAGGCGCCCCAACCCCCTGATCGGCCCTGCTCTGTGGGTGATAGAGGGCGGCGCCCCAACCCCCTGATCGGCCCTGCTCTGTGTGTGATGGGGTAGAGCCATAACCTCCCCATCGTCCCTGCCCTGAGTGTGAGAGTGGCTGCACCCCAACCCCCTGATCGGCCCTGCCCTGAGTGTGACAGTGGCGGTGCCCCAACCCCCTGATCCGCCCTGCTCTGTGTGTGACAGGGGGCGGTGCCCCAACTCCCCTATCGGCCCTACTCTGTGAGTGACAGAGGGGAGCTCCTCAACCTCCTGATGGGCTCTGCTCTGTGCGTGACAGGGGGTGGCGCTGCAACCTCCCCATCGACCCTGCCTTGAGTGTGACAGGGGGCAGTGCCCCAACCCCCCAATCGGCCCTACCCTGAGCGTGACTGAGGGTGGCATCACAACCTCCCAATCCGCCCTGCTCTGTGCATGACAGGGGGCAGCGCCCCAACTCCCCAATCGGCCCTGCTCTGAGCCCGGCCAGGGGCTGCACCTAGGGATTGGGCCTGCCCTCTGCCACCCAGGAGCAGGCCTAAGTCAGCAGGGCGTTATCTCCTGAGGGATCCCAGACTGTGAGAGGGCACAGGCTGGGCTGAGGGACCCCTCCTTCCCCCCCGAGTGCACAAATTTTTGTGCACCAGGCCTCTAGTCTATGTATAAAAGCCTAAGCAACCATTACAATGGAACGACTGGAATGACCGGAACAACCAGTCGGTATGACCTGCACTGACCACCAGGGAGAAGATGCTCATGGCTGGCAAGCACAGCCTCTTCTGTCTCTGTGGCAGCGCTAGGAGGTAAGGAGCAAGTGGTAAGCGGTTAGGAGCGAGTGGCGAGCAGTTAGGAGCACTGAGCACCAAGCTCCTCCCCAGCTGCCTGCCGCTTTCCACACTGCTACATCCCCCAAGGGGTCCTGGATTGAGAGAGGGCGCAGTCCAGGCTGAGACACCCCCAACCGGTGCATGAATCCATGCACTGGGCCTCTGGTAATAGGATAAAGTTTATAACAGCTGACAGTTGACACTGTAATTCTTCTAAGGACGAGAGCTCTTTTATCTGGATGATATTCAAAGTCCTTACAGTAAAAATTAAGTTCTTTAGGGCCTACATATCAACCAGTGTAAGCTTGGAGGGAGTGGGGAAAAGCCTTCATGATAAAGAAACAGACTCTGGAAAATTCTCTAAGGCAAAATAAGAAGAAAGGAGCAAGGAATAGAAATAGAGAAAATGAGGCAAATGGGTCCATGGCAATGCATTCATCCCTATTACTTTCAAGTTTTCAATCACTTCTAGGAAATTCATTAAAGGCTTGGCACAACTGGATATTTTGTTATTGCAATGCAGTGAATTGATTGAGTTTAGAATCTCAGTTTACACGGGGTAAAAAACGAGACAAAACTCATGGACATAAAAGGCACAGGACGAAGCACCAGGCAGATCTGGGTTTACATTCACAGTGACATGTTACAGTAAAAGTACTTACTTAGCCTTGCCATAAAGCAATGTAGCGCTGAAGCATGACCCCCGCCTCTGCCAGGGAATTTGGTACAGATGGTCATTTCAGATGGACAATGATCCTATCCAAAGCATTAAACCAAAATTACAAAATCAAGTGCTCAAGATTATGTAAGATACTAGAGGCCTGGTGCATGAAATTTGTGCACGTGAGGGAGGGGTCCCTCAGCCCAGCCTGCACCCTCTCCAATATGGGACCCCTCAGGGGATGTCCAACTGCCTAAACCAGCAGTTGCACATCCCTCTCACAATCTGGGACCGCTGGCTCCTAACTGCTTACCTGCCTGCCTGCCTGATCGCTCCTAACCACTCTGCCTACCTGCCTAATCACCCCTAACCACCTCTGCCTGCCTGCCTGATCACCCCTAACCACCTCTGCCTCGGCCCCCGCCACCGTGGCTTTGTCCAGAAGGACGTCTGGAAGGATGGCCAAAGACATCTGGTCTATCTGGTCTAATTAGAATATTACCCTTATATTAGTATAGATTGCTTTATTGAAAATTCAGGGTCGAGGCTAAATCAGCTTAAAGTTCTAATAGGAACTTTAGACCTTGGGCAACCTCTTCATACACCCATTAAGTGTAAGGGTATAGTCCAGCCGTGGGCAAACTACGGCCTGCGGGCCGAATCCGGCCCGTTCGGCTGTTCTATCCGGCTCGCGGAGCCGAAAGAGCGGAGGGTTCTCTTGCTCTCCCCTCCGCTCCTTCACCAGCAGCAGTGTTAATATGGCAACGTCGGGAAACACGGCCGCAGCTCCTTCTTCTGAATCCAGTTTAAGAACCCATTGTGGCCCTCAAGTCAAAAAGTTTCCCCACCCCTGGTATAGTCTCTAAAAAGTTTAAATACTTGAAGCAAGCACAGCCTTGAAAATAGGCATTGGCCCATATTGCTTAAATCTAAAGAAATCTTTATAACCTAAGGGACACTTTGGCACTTGGTGGGGGGAGGTGTACTCTCCCCCACCCCTAGGGATTCTGTGTTCATTGGGGTATACTCACGTTCTCATAGCTGAGTGAGGAGAGGAGAAAAGAAGACAGCAATATCTAGTAATTTGAAGTAGGAATATTTTTATCTGCCAATATCAAGTTCTAGAACTATAAAATTCCTTACTCCTAGGACACTACACCTTTCATAGTCATTTTGATGCTATATGGGCTAGTTTATTTCCCTTCTATGCTTCAGAACAAGTTTTATAACATAATTATATGTGTTGTTATATGAAAAATGAGTGAAACCACTCGTTTTGACAGGCTAATGAGGTACAGGAGTGCAAAATGCTAGCATTATGTGATTTCACAGAAAATTCTACTATTATGCTTACTTTGTAATAAACCAAATTGTGGACCTCAAAAATATGCTGCTGTCTTATAATAAAACCATTCACAGCAATAGATAAGAGACTTCTTATTTTCCATCAGTGATAGCCACCTCTGCTATAAGGAAAAATGACCTGGGTTGTTTTTGAAGCAGAAGTATGAGTAAACACCCAAGAAACACTCCAAAAACTTATTTTAGTTATCAAAATAAACTAGCAAAGCCTCAAAGTCACTTGAAAATATCAATCTTGTGGAGGTTATCACAATATTAGATACTACCTCCTCTATCATCAGCATTATAAAACATTTTTTCATTTGACTACTTTTCTCGGCCATTGGCATTGTTCCCAGCTAGTATCTTCTCACTTTAAGATACCCTATGCCAGCCCTGGCCAATGTAGCTCAGTGGATAGAGCGTCAGCCTGCATACACAAGAGTCGATGTTTCTCTCTCTCTCTTTCTCTCTGCATCTATCTCTCTCCCCCACTCCTTCACTCTCTCTAAAAATCAATGAAAAAAGATCCTTGGGTGAGGATTTTTTTAAAAAGATAGTGTATGCCACATTTATACTTTAAGTTAAAAATTGTTCAGATACTTTACATAGTATTTTTCAAATTTATATTTTCTTTCCAAGTACCAACTTTCTGCGCAAGGTAGATGCTATTGTCCTTGACCAAGAGACAATCTTTTCTTTAACTCAATCATGTTTATAAGCATGATTATATGTTCTATAGTTAGCACCAAAGAAAAACACTGGTGACATTCTCTACGCTTCTTTCTTACTGTGACACTTGCCCTCTGACAGCCTGGTGACATGAACTGTCAATATGTAAAACATCAGTCTCACATGTGTTCCAAATCAAGAGCCATAGAACAGTTTGGCTACTGTGAAAAGGACAATTAAGTGGCTTTCTAATTACAATGACGTCAAATGTAGAAGAGAAGAAACACTGGATGTTATCTCTGAACCCCCTCCAACTTGCATTCTGATGCATATACTTGCTAGCCCCAAACCCTTTCCACTTGTGTCCTAGCTAGCCTTGCAAAAACCTGTTTCTCTGAATACTCCCATTTTATAGAGACCATAAACCATAAACCATACACAACCCCCAGAGGGGGTTGGCAATGCTGGCACCAGCCAGGCCAGGCCTTTGGGTGTAATCTCACTTCCCCCATTCCAACCCATGGGGGCTACAAAGCCCATGAGAAGTCCGGAATCCTGGTCCATATTTGGGAGACAAAGACACTAAGGGGATAAAAGGGAAAGCCCCCCGCATTTGGTACTCAGGCTTTGGAGACTGATACCCTGAGTCACCACACTAGTGCATCTGCAAATAAAGGCGTTCTTTCTGAATCCTCTGAGTGCCCAGCTGTTCGTTCTCCCATGCTGCCTGGCAGCTTATCTGCAACACTACTTTGCATGGTATGGAATAAGCTCCCTCACTGCTTTCTGACTTAACTGCCCAACTCAAGCTGCCACATGACCTCACCTATTCCATCTGCATGTAACAGAGCAAGGAGAGAATGCTCTAAAGACCAAAAACGCTATTTATACAAGAGTGCCTCTCACTCTCTTTCAGAATCTATTTATTCTTAGTTTGAATAGAATTGAAAGAAACAGTATAGTGTAATTACTAAGAGAACAGACTCCAGAGCTAGACTGAATTGAATCCTACCTCTGTTGTTTACTAGCCCTGTGTCCTTGGGCAAGTTACTTAAACTCAATGTTCTGCTGGATCAACCTGAGAGGAAGAAAATAAAAATATATTTTACAGAGTTGTTATAGGATGAAGTTAATTAAAATATGTAAAACACCTAGAACTGTGGCAGGCACATGGTGTTATATTTTATTTCTAAGTTCATAAAATATTATAAACAGCAAGAAAGAAGATCAGGCCCAGCAGGCATGGCTCAGTGGTTGAGCGTTTTCCTATGAACCTAGAGGTCATGGTTCAATTCCTGGTCAGGGCACATGCCCTGAATACAAGCTCAATCCCCAGTGTGGGGTGTGCAGGAGGCAGCTCATCAATGGTTCTCTCTCATCACTGATGCTTCTATCTCTCTCCCTTCCTTTTGGAAATCAATAAAGATATATATAAAAAAACAAACAAACAAAGAAGATCAAGGCTTCTGTAGCCATTTGCACTAACACTAGCAAGCATTATCAACTAAAAGTCCATAGTAGTAAGGGGAAGGACTAGGATTACTACTTAAAAATACACATAAGATCTGGGGGCATTGAGTATGGGAATAAAAGCTTGGTAAATACCCAAGTTTATCACTGTATTACATCACAATAGAGTAGTGAAAGTTTATAAAGAGGAACCTGAGCCTTCATGTCCAAGGGCTTATATTTCAGCTCAATAAAATTGTGAATGTTTATTAAGAGGACCCCAAGCATCCAAGGAATAATTAAAATAGGCTCAATAATTTCATTAAAGATGCAACACATTTTGAAATATTTTTGTTCAAAAGAACCAAATAAAAATTTTAGTGCCTTAATACATACTCAGCTAACCAAAATATTCATTTATTCAAAAAGATTTCATCTCTAAGTGGTCTTGTTATAAGAAGATACTGAGAATAGAAACAAAATACAACATAAATTATTTCATGAAGAGGTGTGGCAAAGACTGCTAATTGTTGCCCATCTTTTATTCTCCAAGTCTTTGTTTTAGAAATAGAAATGCCTTGAGTATATGGGGATAGGACTACCCACTTGTCTAGAGACTTTATGTCCTAATCTCCCTTGCAGCTCAGCGTGGCCATATGACTAAACTCCCATCACTTGAATATGAATGAAATCTGTTGCGTGACTTATGTGATACTTCCTTATAAGAAAATTGCCTACCTCCTGCTTCCTCTTCCTCTCTCCAGGGGCTGTATTGAGAACATAAAGCAGTTAAGCTAGCCTCTACCATGAAGATGAAGTGGCAACCAAGGAAATGGTTGAACAAAAGGACAGAGGAAACCTGGTCCCCAGGTCAACCTGTGCAGAGTTCCCTACCTTCTACAGACACCATGCCTCCCTATACACTTCTGTCTCATTTAAGACAGAGTAATTTGGGGTCTTTTTGTAGCAGACTCATATCATCTTAATACTAGTAAATTTAGAGAAAGATAATAGAAATTAACTTCAAGTCTATATTGAGTACAAGTATTTTGCAATTTACTATGTCAGGCTCTATAAAGATGCTGAATTAATTAGATGCAAGTTCTGTCCTCTGAGACTGTAATCCAGAGAAGAGGAACTAAGTACCCAGACAATTACATTCCCATGTAGTCCACATTGCTTTTATGTGAGAATTATAAATGAGGTGTTATGGGACAATAGTAGGAGATAATTCTATCAACTTGCACCAATAAATCTTGAATCAGGAAAATCTTCATGAAGATGGCCTTTCAGAAAAATCTACAATTGAAAGGATTTCAAAAGCAGGGATAAACAATGACAGGAAAGGAAAACAATGTGAATAAAAGCACTTCAGCAGAAAAGTATACATGTGCTCATGTGTCCCTTTAGAATATAGAGTTGAAGGACCTTGGAATGTGTGCTGGAAGAGTAAGTGTAGATCATTGTGAAGAGCACTGAATTGTAATTATAAAATGTGTATTGAGCTCTTTCTATATGCAAACATTGTGCTAAATGTTTTATGTGCACTTTCTCAACTAATCTTTTATATTTCCCCTTGAGGGTAAGGAATCTATATTTAATTCAGCAGGAAACAGAAAACCTGAATAACTATGAGAAAGTGAATGACACCCTTTAACTGTGCTTCAGGATGGCTAATCACCATGTAGGAGTGTACAGTGCAGGATGCAAAGCAGCGAGAATACTTTTGGAATAGACAAGGCTAGAGATCGAAACTTGAACTAGTGTGACAGCATGAAACAGGACTCAAGACGTTATGACGAATTTGGCAAGTAATTACTTGATTGTGTGAAGAGTCCTATAAAAACAGGAAGTGGGAGGATAATCCTAATGTTTAGAACCTGAGCCCTGAAATTAACAAAATAAGGAGTGATGTGTTTTCAACAAAAAATAGAAGGTAACTGGGCTTATTGAGATGTTGATGGGTTCCATGCAGAGGACCTTTGCTTTCTCAGTACCATGACTTACTATGTGATTTCTCAAAATTGGCTGAATATTTCTAAACCTGTTTTGTTCTCTGAATAATAATATCCAACTCACAGACTTTATTTGAGGGTTAAAGAAGATAGTGTTTTTTAAAGGACAGAAAAAGCACCTAGCACTATATAGTACATAGTAAGTAGTCACTATATAGTTATCAATAGATAAGGATATAAACATATAAATTGAATATGTGAGAGTTTGTAAAATCACTGAAGAAAATAAAAGGTTTTGAGGCAAAAACCTTTGGAAATACCTTCATTTTAATACACAGTATGAGTAACAAGGGCCAGTAAAGGTAACAGGGGGAAATAGTAGTGAGGTGAGAAGAAATGAAAGATGGGTAAAAAGACCCAGGTAGAGAGATCAACCTCTGTCAGGAAAAGGGATACACCTTCCTCCTGGAAGTAAAGGAGAGAGAGGAGATGAGTGAAGACAGAATGATGTGGAAGACAACACTGTGTCATGAGAGAGTTCATGAAGCTGGTTTTATAGGAAAGTTGTATAAGTCATCTAGTGAGGGGAATTAGAATAGGTAAAATGAAAGACCTGAAGAAATGTTTACAGGTTATTTTTTTCTTTTACATGTAAAGGGCATTTATCCAGCAAAGAATGTTATTTCTTAATGTTTCCACTTTAATAACATTTTATCAGGTCCATATTTCTCTTCAAATCATTCATTTTTATAATATTTGGAGAAAGTTTTTAGAGAAAATACTCTCAAATGACTGAAATGAGTCACTCCTGGTGATTTCTAGTCTTTAATCTCAACTCTAAGTATAAAAGAAATAAATGGCCATAGTGCTGGATGGGGTACCAAATTGCACAGTACCATTCTGAAACCTTCACCTTCCTACAGAATGAGTATAACACAATTTTATAGGTCTCTTTTCCGCTGTAGTAGTTTGAGTGATGTCCCCTACAAATTCATATCAACCCAGAACTTCAGAATGTGACCTTGTTTAGATATCTCCAGATATACTAAGCTAAGGTAAGTGGATCCTAATCCAATATGACTGGTTTCCTTATAAGAAGAGAGAAATGTGGAAGAAAGACATGTGAAGACAGAGGCAGATAATAAAGTTATGCTACCACAAGCCAAGGAATGCCTGGGGCTCTCAGAAGTTGGAAGACTCAAGAAAGAGTCTTAGAGGTTTCTGAGGGAGGAGAGCTCTGGCAACATCTTGCTTTGGGACTTCTGGCCTCCAGAACTTAGGGAATAAGTTTCTGTTATTTAAGCCACTTAGTTTTCAATCTTGTTAGGGCAACCCTAGGAAATTTATATGCCTGGGGGGGGGGGGCATGGAGGAGGAGTGCGGGGGGAGGGGGGCGAGGGTGGGGAGGGGAAAGGGGCAGGGTTTAAGTCTTGTGACTAATAGGTGCTTCCTATATGTCTTATAATGATTACCCACAAATCAAAAGAACCATTTTCTACTAGAACTTAGCTCTGTTGAGCTTGCATCCCTCTTCAGAAACATCAGGAATCTATTTCTTAAACTATCATTGTAAACAGAGTAATGATTTATTCTGAAAGCCCTGAAAAATAATGAGGAGTGGGCATGAGAAAAAAGCATTTTGAGATCCATTGTATTACAAATTACGCAAGCACTACAGTAAAGGTCAGTCAAATGAGAATGAGAACTAATCATTCAGAATAAACAGCCAGTAGAAGAAGAAAAAATAGCTGAAGGCCCTAATACATGTCACTTTGAAAGAAAGGATACCCAATTAGAACCCTGAGCCTGGAGTAACTACAGTGATGAAAGCAAACAAAGTGTTAGGGCTTCACCTGAAACTCCTTGATAGCACATCAAGAGGAATGCACATGCACAAACTGCCAGAGGGAACAGAAAGGACAAAGGCCCAGTCTGTTTGAAGACTGTGCTGCTTAATCTCACCACAGATTTGAATAAAAATACCAACCTGGCTCTCTATGCTTTGAGCCTATATGATATCACAGGAGGAACTAAATCAAAACTTAGAGATCAAGGTCTTGGATTGAGGTACAATTACTCTGGAAAGGTGGTAAAAGATGCTACAAAGAACCATAGAACAGCAAAAGAAAAACTTTAGACCTAACCTTTTTCTTGAAACAATAAAATCAGTAGGAGATAAAGGGAGAAAACTATTCCTTTTTGTATTTGTTGAACTCCTGGGAAATATGCTGTGTTTATATGTGTAAAATAAAAATTATATATAATGGAGTAAAAAGGGCCACAGTAAGAAGTTATAACAATACTAGAGGCCTGGTGCACGAATTCATGCACCAGGGTCCCTCGGCCTAGTCTGCGGGATAAGGCCGAAACCAGCTCTCCAACATCCTCCGAGGGGTCCCAGATTGCGAGGGGGCACAGGCCAGGTGAGGGACCCCCATCGGTGCATGATCAGGGCCAGGGAGGGAAGCAGAGGTTGGCCGACCAGGGAGGGGCTGTGGGAGGGCTCCAGGGCATATCTGGCCCATCTCACGCAGTCCCGATTGGCCAGGACCCAGCAGCAAGCTAACCTACTGGTCTGCCCCCTGGTGGTCAGTGCACGTCACAGCGAGCAGAGTTGAGCAGCCTTAACATATCATTAGCATATTGTGCTTTGATTGGTTGAACAGACAACCGGACATGTGGCATATTAGGCTTTTATTATATAGGATTATTTGTAAAGAACATGAACATTTGATTTGAAAAGGGACTGGAATCATTGTAGACTTCTAAAGATTTGAGTAGCAAGATCAAAATGACACTTCAGAAAGTTACTTCTTACTGCTCTCGGTGGGTGGGATAGTTTAGAGAACAGAGACAATGAAAAGAATTTGAACATGAAGCAATTGGGTACCCAGACTGGGTTATGTATGTAAAAGACCCCAGAATTCAAACTAGATTAGATGAGACAGGCCTATACTTTGATCTGTATTCCCTCCACAAACTCTTCAACCAAAACCTCCAATATTTTATTCTCCCACCCTTAAGTAGATATTTCATCAATCATTTGCCTACAATCCATTGATCCCAATATCCTTTTCATTGTCCCTCATCTCCATCAGGTCCTCACTTCCATCCCTAAACAAATTAAATAACATAGTTCATAATAATAACCACTCCTTTCCATGTAACTCCCAACTTACTACTCTCCTCTCCTTCCTTTAAACTCACCTGGCTAAATCTCAGTGGTAATGAAGCACAACTCCCCACCTTTGTATCTGGGCAACTGAATGGTGCTGAAGGAAAACACACAACCATGCTTTTACCCTTCTTTCTTTTACTCCATAATCTCCAACCTCAAGAGGACCCTTGCCCATTAATCATTCTGTCTTCATGGTCCATTCAGTCTCCCACTTAGATAATTATTCCATGTCCTCAAATTTCCAACACCATCACGACCCTCTGCTGATGATATTATTTCCTACTTCTCTGAAAAGACAGATGAGATCATATGAGAAATTTTTCAAACTCCCATCACCATATCTGCTTTGAATCAGCCTTTTTTCTTCATGCTAGAAATGAACAACCCATCTTCTCAAAGTCCTACCCTTCCTCCTGTGCCTGGATTTGACCTCTTCTTACCTACTCAAAGATGTCACTCTAATATTTATCCTTCCTTTTTTCCATTATCATTTTTTCCTCTCACTTAGATTAATGCCATTAGCATATAAACATATTATAATACTAGAGGCCCAGTGCACGAATTCGTACACAGGTGTGGTCTCTCGGCCTGGCCAGCGTTTGGGACTGATCCGGGCTGTCTTACCCAGTCCTAATTGGGGCCGAATGGGGCCAGCCAGCTGGGGCGGGGGCAGGGAGGGACCGCGGGAAGTTGGCCAGCTGAGGGAGGTTGGCTGTGAGAGCGCACTGACCACCATGGGGCAGCTCCTGCATTGAGTGTCTGCCCCCTGCGCATCATAGTTACCAGCCGGTCATCCGGTCATCCAGTTGTAATTGTCACTTAGGCTTTTATATAGAGAGATTAAAAAAAAAATAAAATCCCTGCTTTGTTTCCAAATTCTCCTTTAGTTATTGCCTCATTTCTTTATTCCAAAATGTTCAGAAACTTAATTTTATGTCCTGAACTTCATTCTCTCTTTTACCCACTTCACACAGGTTTTTGCCTGTACCACTCAGTAGAAACTGTGTCAGGTCACCAATTGCCACAACATTATTATATGCAATGATAAATTCTTAGTCTTTAGCTCACCTATCATTAGCTTTTAACAACTGATCACTCCCCCTTTGAAACATTTTCTTCATAAGGTTTCCAGGATGCCAGTTCCCCTTGGTTCTCCTCTTACTTCCCTGGTGGTCTCATGTACTTTTCTTTTCATCTACCCTAGCCTGTAAACATTGTAGTGACACAGGGCTCAAACCTCAGACCTTTTCCCACTTCTATCTACTCTCTTTTAAAAAACCTAGTCTTGTGGATTTAAAAATCATCTATATATGCATAATTTCCAAATACATCTGCTTTTCCTCTGAACTCTAAGCACATATGTCCTACTTTCATTATGATATGTCTATAATTGGGTTAACAATATGTGAATATAAAATGTTTACAGTTTGATTAGATGTATAACTGTCATTCTAAAATTAACATGGCCAAAGAAATCATTCTTCAAGAGGATGTAACAATTGTCTTTTCAATAAATGGCCTGAGAAAATTGAATATTCACATGCATGAGAATAAAATTGGACCCCTGTTTCACACCACTCACTAAAATTAACTCAAAATAAATCGAAGACTTAAATGTAATACCTGAAACCAAAATCTACCTATAATAAAACACAGAGGAAAAGCTCCTTAACATTGATTGGTTTTGGTAATGATTTTTTGGATATGACATCAAAAACATAAACAACAAAAGCAAAAACTAAGTGGAACTACATCAACAATCAGAATTGTACACATGTTATCTATCTTTATGAAATATTGTTGGGGGAGGGAATATGAAAATTATTAATATTGAAACCAAGCTGCTATATTTTTGTCAGCAATGTCCTGTAAATATCATTCTGACCGAAAATTTCTGAAACTATGGTGTGGCTTTTTTTGTGGGTTTTTTTTTTTTTTGTATTTCTGTATTTTCATTACATTACAATATGTAGAGATTATTCAGTGAAGAAAAGTGGATGTGATTTAAAATTTCAAATCAAAACTAGCTTAAAAATACTAATCTAATAAATAATTCTCAATTTGCCAAGTGATCACAAAACTATTTCAATTTTTTTCTCCTAACACTTGACTCAAAATTGTATCCCACAAAAAGTTGCCCCAAGAAATATACAAGGCAAAGATATTTGTGAAAAGATATTTAATCTCACTAGCAATGTGGATAATTCAAATAAAAGTGACTTATTGTTTTAGACATCAAATTAACAACATGTTTATAAATAATGCTATTTACTATTAGCAAGGCCATATGGGAGTATAAATCAGAGTATTGTTTCCATGTAGAAATTGATTAGATAAATAAATATTAAAAGCCTTAGAAAGGGCTCTTAACTCATCAATTTCAATTACTCAACATATTCTAACAAAATAAAGATGCCTATAATGATTTAGTACCATTGTTTATCATCTTGAACATTTACAAGCTACCCAAAATTTTAGCAATATAGAATTAGTTAAATAGGCATGGTTTAATCGCTACAAAAAAAAACAAAACCCACAAATGTTTTAGGTGAACATGCAATGGCATGGAAAGATGTCTCTAGTCTATTATTAAGTGAAAAAAAGGTTATCGAGCAGTACGTATAACGTACAGTTTGAGTCAGAGGAAGAGGGAAAGAAAAACTACATGCTCAAAATTAATCTCTCCAGTGTGCTATTATGTTTTTCTTCTTTTTTGCTTCTCTGTCTCCTAAACTTTCAACAATGATAAATGGTTTTGTAAACAGAGTAATATTTGCTCTTTAATCTACTTTCCACTTTTAAAAGCTCAGTGACCTCTACACATTTATAAATACAATTTGCAATACCTTAGCTGATACATATCCTTGCAGATATGTTCTTTTTTCACACATTCATGTTTTCTTCATTCATCAATTCTCATGCCAATTTGTAAGTTCCAAAATCTCAAGGACAATTGCCTCAAATTCTTGAAGCTTTCTGATGCCTAATAACATAAGGTATACAAAAATTACACATATTAATATTTATCAAATACATGAATCAGAAATATGTGATGGAAAGAGGCCTTAAAAATTAAAGGTAGATAAAAGCTGTTGTTGATATTCTAAATACGTTTGATTAATATTTCCCAAACCAAACCCGCAATTACTGTCCTTGCTTCCGAGTTATTACTATTTGAGGCTATCTGTCTCAGTGTTTGAGTTCAAACCTTTGCTCAAAAAAATTCTGTGGATCTGGAGCCCTGAGTCCTGCCCACTAGGCTGGCCTGCCCGCCTACTTTATCATTGCTGGGAATCATGGCTCAATGCACCTATTTTCCTATATGTATGTTATACATGTGCTAAGCAATATAAGTAAAATATGCATTACAGCATTATTTATAATAGCAAAAGAATGGCAATAGCTTAATATTTATTAATAGATGTGCGACTAGATTATACTCTGTGTATATGATAGAATATATGCCACCTTTAAAAAAAAGTAAGATAACTTTTAAAAAAATATTTTTTAATTGATTTCAGAGAGGAAGGGAGAGAGAGAAACATCAATGATGAGAGAGAATGATGAGAGAGAATCATTGATCGGCTGCCTCCTGCACGCCCCACATTGGGGATCAAGCCTACAACCCAGGCATGTGCCCTTGACCAGAATCAAACCTTGGGACCCTTCAGTCCGCAGGATGACGCTCTATCCATTGAGCCAAACCAGCTAGCGCAAAACAACTTTTTATATATACAGTTAAGGAACTGATCTTGTAAAGTGAACAAAGCAAAATGTAGAATTACGTATATGTATAGGATGGTAGCATGTGTTTATGTATATGTATATATGTGTGCATAGTATCATTAAAGAATATACATATTCTTTATGATAGGAGAACTAGATGGTCAGAGGACAGTGTGAGAAAGAGATTTAAACTCTTTTGTACCTTTTGAACTTTGAATCCATTGCATGGATTTCCTTTTTAATGAACTTGGAGCATATCTTCTTTATTAAGTGAATTTCTTAGTCATATACACGTGGAAAGCAAGCGGGTATCCCAAGCCTTCGGGGAAGGGTGCAGCATTGCAGGTATGTTACCAGATGAAAGCCACTCTTACTAATACACCCTGGTGTGGAGAGCTGTTTTCTATGGAGGAAGTGTGAGCAAAATTGCACAGGAGTTAAAGATTAAAGAGGCCTCTGGGAAAATAGATATTGAGAGCTTGACCTCATCTCTTTTGAGATTATTAAGAACTTTCTAATTGATCAATATAGTCCCACAGATGAGAATGACTTGCCATATTCCTAAAGGGAGACTTCACCATTAGGGGAAAAGCATATGGATTGGTGAGCTGAATCACAGTTCATGGTGGAAGGGCTAATTGCAGTAGAGCAAGCGGCTGTGACTTGACTCCCTTGCTGAGCTAGCTCCCTGATAGGTGCCCATGTTTTGTTTATAATGTGAGTGTGAACCAAAGAGTTGAACTTCGTAGCCCAAGTCTGGAACACCCTCATCGGCCCCAACCCTCATGGTTAAAGAGCATTCATATTGGTGACAATACTAATGTGACCACAGATAGACTTAACACTATGGGAGGAGACCTCTCCCTATTAAAAACTACTAATACATCTGCAGTGGTGTCATTATAACAATAAATTGGACAGCATAGGAAATTTAAGACCTTCCATTTTTAACAGTAGCATGTGGCTATAACAGAAGCAAAGTCATCTGAAGACAAAGGCCTTTTCTTTCTTAACTAGAGGCCCGGTGCACAAAAATTTGTGCACTCGGGGGGGGGGGGGCGTCCCTCAGCCCGGCCTGTGCCCTCTCACAGTCTGGGACCCCTCGGGAGATAACGACCTGCTGGCTTAGGCCTGCTCCCGGGTGGCAGAGGGCAGGCCCAATCCCTAGGTGCAGCCCCTGGTCGGGCTCAGAGCAGGGCCGATTGGGGAGTTGGGGTGCTGCCCCGTCATGCACAGAGCAGGGCATATTGGGAGGTTGCGATGCCACCCTCAGTCATGCTCAGGGAAGGGCCGATTGGGGGGTTGGGGCACCGCCCTGTCACACTCAAGGCAGGGTCGATGGGGAGGTTGCGGCGCTACCCCCCGTCACACACAGAGCAGGGCCCATCAGGGGGTTGGGGCACCGCCCTCTATCACCCACAGAGCAAGGCCGATCAGGGGGTTGGGGCGCCGCCACTCTCACACTCAGGGCAGGGCCGATGGGGAGGTTATGGCTCTACCCCATCACACACAGAGCAGGGCCTGTGGCGGGGGGGGGGGGGGTTGGGGAGCTCCCCCCTATCAGGCACAGAGCAGGGCTGGCTGCTCAGGGGGTTGGGGCCCCGCCCCCTGTCACACACAGAGCCGCAGAGCGATCAGGGGGTTTGGGCGCTGCCCCCTGTCACGCTGATCCCGATGCCGGGAGGTATATTACCCTTTTACTATATAGGGCAGAGGCCTGGTGCATGGGTGGGGCCAGCTGGTTTGCCCTGAAGGGTGTCCTGGATCAGGGTGGGGGTCCCCACTGGGGTGCCTGGCCAGTCTGGGTGAGGGGCTGAGGGCTGTTTCAGGCTGGGAGTGACTGAAGTTCCCAGCCGCTCCTTTTTTTCTTTTCTTTTTTTTTATTCTGGGCCAGCTTTACCTTGAGGCTTGGCTCCAACTCTTAGGCCTCCATGGCTGAAAGTAGGTTTCTGGCCTTTGCTTACAATGTTGCGAATCTGCTGGCTGAAGTCCAGCGGTATTTGTTACAATGTTTCTTAAACTGCCCGCTCAGAGGCCTGCAGCCGCAGGCGGGGAACATTGGTTTCCTCCAACGATCCTCCGTCACTGAGGCAAACAAGCCTCATGTTAGTTTCAAGCTGCCTGGCTGCCGGTCGCCATCTTGGCTGACAGTTAATTTGCATATCTCGCTGATTAGCCAATGAAAAGGGTAGCGGTCATACACCAATTACCATGTTTCTCTTTTATTAGTGTAGATGAGAATTTGGAGGTATGACTATTCCTTGAAGTCAGTCAGTCCCCAGAGGTTATGAGTAATTTTTAACTTGACGAATGAGCTGACAACTTCACAAATAAGGTACTGGACTTTCTAGCAACTTAAGCACATGAGTGTTCAAGCCAATATTAAATTGAAAGATAAAATAAATATGAACTCCTTTGTACCCCCAAGGTGGTGAAGTAGGCCATACCAGTAACATAAGAAAGAACCGTGTCTCTGGACAACCTCAGGGATACCAAGAGAAAGCCAATCTAGTTGGGTCTCAAGAAGAACAGGAGTGGAATAGAGCTCCTGGAACTGGAAGGTGGTCCAGAGTATAAGGCGGCTGGGAAGCTGAACGGCAGGAATCTGGATCTCGCCCCAGGGTTTCAGCACCAAGGTGAAAGCTCCTTCCTCAGCACTTCCTTCTTTTTCGGTTACCACCCAACCTCTTCACCTCTGTTTATCTTTGTTTCCTTCTCATAGCTTCTGTTTACACTTTGGCTATACCCATAGCCATTTAGCTTTGGTTCCCTCTACTAACTGCCTCTGAACTTCCTGACATGACCCATAGCAAGAACTAATCGGCTCAGGTAGGCTTTGCCAAACTTTCCACAGGGAACCATCTTCTAGTCATCAGCCTACTGTTTGACTGTCCTTGGGTTAGATGCCCATCAATTCCACCTGTCTTGGCTCTAAACCACATCTGGAAAAACCACAGGTTGGAGTGGAGGGAAGAGCAGAACTGGTATAAAGCAGGTTGCCTAGGACTCCCCATCAGCAGAGTCAGAGCACACAGCCGCTTCCTTTAAAGGGGGGTTGGACCGCTGCAAAATCCCATGCCAAGTCTTCATGCTAGGGAACTATGAGAACCTGGAAATTTTATGAAAACAAGGTCCATAAGAATATGGTAGGGTGGGAGTGGCCGGGGAGAGGTCAATGGGGGGAAAAGGAGACTCATGTAATACTTTAAAAAATAAAGAATTTAAATTAAATTTTTTAAAAAAGAATATGATAGAGATTCTGCTTAAATAGTAATTTTTACAAGGGCTAAAATTATGGGCTATGAGTAGAATTTCAAACTAAACTCACTCTAATTCTCCATTGCTAAATACAGTTCACTTAGAATTTAGGAAATTAATGAATAAATTCAAAACTTTGCCAAAAGGAAAATACTCCTTAAATTAATAGAATTAAGGGTTCTATGCCTCTCTCTTCTTGCTCCTTCAAGACACTTAGTGTGCCCAACCCCTTATTCCATGTATTATAGAGTATGTTATGTTAACAACAGAATTTAATTTATGCTCCACAAATACCCATGTTAAACTCATAGCCCCTAGTCAGACTACAAGTTTAATATATTAAATTTAAAACTATTATGTTAAGAACAGAATGAAAAAATAATTAGTTAGTATGATAATATTGTGATCTTCCAGACATGAGCTGATTATTGGGCCAGCTCCCATTACAAAACAAGGACTACACCTTGTTTTAATGGCTTTCTCTCTGAACACCCAAGGGCACAGTAACAAACATTATAGGATTACTGGGCAAAGATAATAGGAAAGAATCCAAAAAGTTCACACCCTAGGAAGAATTCCAAAACATTTTTTTAACCTTGGATTTAAAATCACGAAGGCTTCAGCTGCTTAAGGAAGGTGAAGATCATAGGCAAAGTGTTTGGCAACAGCTTGGCTGAATATTTACAAGTGGTGGGTTTATTTTGTGACTTTAATTGCTCTCTCAGGAGAATATGGAGACTGCAGCCATGTATAAATACCTTAATTTAATTCTGGCACTAAAAGTGGAATTAAATTTTTTTCAAACGTATTATGGAGAGTAATGCAAATTTAGATCTTTTGGGTTTTGTCTGGTTATTTTATATGTTGAAGAACATCTTTAGAGTTTTAAGTATATGTATTCTATCTCACATTATAATTCCTTCTCCTTGATTTACTTTGCTCAGTAAAATATTTTACTGTACACAGAAGCAAGCTTAGAAGCTCCCTGCAAATCGAACATTATGTTTCTCTTACTAGCTGCCCCTGGGGTTCTGAGCTATAATGATTTTTTTTGACTATCCTACTATTTGGGGAGTAAATATATGAGATTATAAATATATTTTCCTATGCATAGTAATGCAAAATGACATATAATTTTTAAAAAGGACTAGAAGGTACACCACTTCTCTAAAATAAGTAAATATCAGATGTGGTATTCTTAACACCATGGCATAAGATGGGTACTTTGTGATATTGTCATACTAGCAATCTTTCATGAGAGCCTTTTATCTCCATTAGAAGTGTCATAGCTATTTAGGTATCACAGGTACTCTGAAACCATCATATTCTATGGGAGAAGCTCTACCTGCCAAGCAATTACTCATCTTCTTTGTATTTAACAACTGTATAAAATACAAGGTGCATCTCTGATGCTACATTAATAATGAATGACAGTAATAAAGTGGGGAGATCAACAACAAATCAATTCAAATGAAGAAAATTATAATAACTGAGAAAGGATAGAGTACTGAAAAGTAAAAGGTGCAATATATAAATCCCATTGCATAGAAACCCACACCTGAAACCTATATGTTCATGTTGACCAATGTGAGAGCCTGTGAGAATATGAAAAATCAAGGTGAGGATGAGAGAACTAGAACCAGATCAATGAGGAAACATAGGCTACTTCCTTCTAGAATAAAAGCCTGCACTACAATGTGATATTCCTGAGCCTACATACAAAAGGAATTCACATTTGAAAAAAGCTAAGTGGATTATTCTGATTAGATTAAGAATATGATTACAGGCATCTCTCAGGTTCGTTCCAGACCACTGAAATAGAGAGAATATGGCCTTGCTTAGTGTACTCAGTGGTCAAGGTTCAATTCCTGGTGAGGACACATGCCCTGGTTCGATCCCCAGTAGGGGGCGTGCAGGAGGCAGCTAATCAATGGTTCTCTATCATCATTGACATTTCTATCTCTCTGTCCCTCTCTCTTCCTTTTTGAAATCAATAAAAATATATTTTAAAAATAAATAAATAAAGTGAATATGGCAATAAAACAACGCAAGTGGTATTTTTGGTTTCTTGTGAATATAAAAATTATGTTTACACTACACTGTAGTCTATTAAGTGTACAATAACATTGTCTAGAAAAATAATGTACATACCTCAATTAAAAAATATTTCCACCATCTGCGCTGGATGGTAAAATGGTGCCGATTGACTTGCTCAATGTAAGGTTGCCACAAACCTTCAATTTATAAAAAACACAATATCTGCAAAACATAATAAAGCAAAGCACAATAAAATGAGCTATTCTTGAATGTGACATCCAAGACAAAGTGAATCTATCCTCTCAGTTCCTGGGAATCTTTTGCAAAGCCAGTAAGAGGTTATATCCTGAGAGCTTTTGTGCAAGAAGCATTTTAAAGTTTGAGGTAGAGAATGGATATGCATTATCATTAAGCTTCTAGAAATGTTTGTACTTTTCAAAAGCATCTAAGGCATTTGTTTAAAGACACTCTAAGTGACCATTTCTACACATTACTTACTCTGGGAAGCCTAAGAAACTGGCTCACTACCCAGAGTGAGACACAAAATTGACTTCTATGAATTTTCATGAACATTCAGATGATTTGCAGACAAAACAAGTCTTTCCCACAAGCAATTAAGCACCTCTGGGAATGCCAATGACAGTTTGCATGATTTTGAGCTTGAAGTTCACATCTATTCGTTTTTTGTTTAGTTCAAAAAATAAGAACTATTCTCCTCAAAGCGTAAAGAGGCTTAAAACAACATTTAAGTGAAATATTAAAACAATTAGGTCATTATGATGCTAGCTAACTGAAACTGACAGATATTTATCTTCCCATACAAAAAAAGGAAAAAGTGATGGAAGTTAAAAGAGCAATAGAAAGATGTAAAAATAAATTATTGATGAGTTATCTACCCCCGATTATAGCTTATATAGGTTATAAAATAATCATTGATAAGACCTCTGATACAGCTATTAAGTATTATAGAAATGAATTGGATGACATACCATTTAACTACTTAATAATGTAGATTTTCCCCACCATCTTCACCTTTACCTCTCTTTCTACATCTGTTCAGGAAGCAACAATTAGTGCTAAATACTGAGTAGAGGATAGGTGGTGGTGCCTGCTTTTTGGTGGTAAATTAAGGTCGGTCAGGTCAGAGCGAAGCATGCCCTCTAGAGGTTATACAGGTCATGTACTATCTATAACAAATTATACAAATTTCAAAATATTTTGTGAAAATTCCAAAAATAAATTTACTTCCTTATACATTAAGAATAAAAACTGAGAGAAGAAGAAATTTCTCACTCTATCTAACAAAGCCATCCTAACTAAATGTCTTTTATACACCGGAAGGTGGTTGTCAGGTTAAGAGCTGATTGAGGAATTCTAGCAATAAAAATGTGGATAATATATAAACTCAAAGGGAATGAAACTATCACATTACTTTACAAATACCAGGTCCTGAGAAATAATTCCTCATTCAAGTTTGAAAAATCAGAAAGAAATAGGTAAAAGGGGACCTTTAAAATAAAATAAAAAACCCTCTGTAATAAAGAAAATAGAACTTAGTTATTACCTTAAAAATAAATGGAGATGTCGATCTCTAAATAATAGTTATCCAATAAATAAAAGTTTATATTGTTTTTGTGTTTTTTAAAATCTCATGAAATATAAGAAATCATGGATTCAGTGAACAAGAGAAAGACACAATAAAAATTGAGCTGGCAGAGAAAAATAAAAATTCAAAAAACTCCTCAAAAAACAGTAAAATATATAATAATTAAAATATGCATTGGAGTATGTAAAGTACAAAATTAAAACTGCATAAAATTTAATCAGTAACAACCTAGAGAAATTCTCTAGGAAAATGATAGCTACAGTGAAAGAAAATATTCAACCTTTGAATAGTCATCACCACTGAAAAAGATATCAGAATGGGAACAGAAGTAATTGTAAAAGATTTATTAGAAGGAAAAAATAAAAATGCCCTAAAGTAAAAATAATAATAAAGTGTAGGTATTGATAGATTAAAAAGGCTTACCAAATTCTAGGCAAAATTAATATACAATAGGCTAAATTAAAATTAATTATAAACTAAACAAAATTTTAAATTCCAAAATAAGATTTTATAAAAATTAGAGCAGAAATAGATTTTTTTTAAGACAAAGAGAGAACCTTTTTTTAAAATATATTTGTATTGATTTCAGAGAAACGAAGAGAGAGGGAGAGATAGAAACACCAATGATGAAAGAGAATTACTGATCAGCTGCCTCCTGCATGCCCCATACTGGGGATCAAGCCTGCAACCATGACCAGGAATTGGACATGACCTCCTGGTTCATAGGTCAACACTCAACCACTGAGCGACACCAGCATGACTGCAATTTGAGATGTCTCCTGTCCTTTCATGTTTTTGTGTGTTGTGGGTTTTTTTGCCTCACTCATTCTCTTCTTCCATCTAGTTCTTCTAGAGCAGTAGTTCTCAACCTTCCTAATGCTGCAACCCTTTAATACAGTTCCTCATGTTGTGGTGACCCCCAACCATAAAGTTATCTCGTTGCTACTTTATAACTGTAATTTTGCTACTGTTATGAATCATAATGTAAATATCTGATATGCAGGATGTATTTTCATTGTTACAAATTGAACATAATTAAAGCATAGTGATTAATCACAAAAACAATATGTAATTATATATGTGTTTTCCAATGGTCTTAGGCAACCCCTGTGAAAGGGTCGTTCGACCCCCAAAGGGATCATGACCCACAGGTTGAGAACCGCTATTCTAGAGCTAAAATATTATTGGAGGAGAAAGATCGTTCTTTTTCCTTTGAGAGTAGCAGAGAGACTTTTCCCCAGTTAAATAAAAAAAAATCATAAATGGGATGAAGAGGTGCCCACATGGCAGTACTTTTCAGTTCTCTGCTTTGGGAAGAGAGGTTGTAAACACTGAGGATGTAATAAAGTCAGAAGGAGAACTAGCTATTTCTGTCACTTAGCATACATGACCTTTTAAAATTATTTTTTCATGTGATATCTTATCTCCCCATCCTATATAATAAAAGCCTAATATGCAAATCGACTGAATGGCGAAACCACCAGTCACTATGACACACACTGACCACCCTGGGGGCAGATGCTCAACGCAAAAGCTGCCCCCTGGTGGTCAGTGTGCTCCCACAGGGGGAGCACCGCTCAGCCAGAAGCCAGGCTCACAGCTGGGGAGCACAGCAGCAGTGGCGGGAGCCTCTCCTGCCTCCGCTGCAGGCGGGCAGTAAGGAGAGAGGAGTCCCAGACTGTGAGAGTCCCAAACTGGGAGAGGGATGTCTGACTGCAGGCCCAGAGGTCGGGCTTAAGCTGGCAGGCGGATATCCCCCAAGGGGTCCCGGACTGCGAGAAGGCACAGGCCGGGCTGAGGGACCCTCCCCCCCGCCCCCGCTCCCCCAGTGCACAAATGTCATGCAATGGGCCTCTAGTCTTGATTATAAGCAACTTGAGATCAAGAGCTATGTCTCATTCTTCTTTGGGTCCCTATTACCTTACCCATTGCATTATAGTGTGGGTCCTACATAAGTATCTGTGAAGATACCAATTATATCAGGCATACCAGTGGGAGAGAGAAAACAAAATGAAACAAAAGTCTATCCTAGTTATTTAATTTTAGAAAAAGAAACTGAAAAATCTATAGAGATTATTTAGGGGAAAATTGAATGATAGCATTTAAAAATTCAATAACACACAGGGAGTTGGAAACATTTATGAACACTTCATTGAAAACCCAAGATAAATGTATGTCAAATTTGAAAATGCCCAGGGTGTGTGTGTGTGTGTGTGTGTGTGTGTGTCCATCCCCAGTCAAGGTTAAGGGACTTGTGGAAGCAGATTTTTCCGCTTAAAAGAGTTATCTGAGAATTACTTAATGTGATAGAGAAAGGAAGTAGGAATGGAGGAAAGAATGAAAGCGAGAGAGAGAAAAGGAAAGACATTAATGTTTCAAGGACTAGAAAGCTGGTTCAGCTAAACAGAGCAGGGAAACTCGGGAAGGATGCCAAGTCAGGTAAGTCAGGTACAAACCTGAAATTAGGCAGATCAAAAAAGAATTGTGTGGAACTTTTGAAGAATGCCTGAAACCATCGGCAGAATTTGTGGATGCTACCTATGGAACTGGTGGGACCACTTAAGAGGTTTACATTTCACCCAAGAGCATGGAGAGGGAGAGGGAAGGAGGAGCAGGAGTAGGTGCAGAGGCCTTGGGAAGGACTGATCTCATCCAGGCTTTGGGTATGTGGTTTGAGAGGGAAACAAGGTAGCGTAAGCAAAAATAGGCCTTTATTTATATCTTAGTCTCCCCCCCCTTATTCATTTTTCCTTGACCTTGCCTGGCTGTCTTCCACTTTCCTCTCTTACCTCAAAATTCCTATGCACTTCTCTACCATTCCCTCTTTCCCTTAAAGAATTCAGCCCCAAAGATATATTTTATGTGAATTGCTCTAAGTTTCATAAAAACCTGAAACAGATGCCAACATTTAAAAACTTGACATTCCATTTTTCAGGTACCTCTTGAAAACAAAAAAGATCTGGCAACACAGCCCCAGTCTCATGGGAACAAAGAGCTGGCACTGGGTAGCGTCAGCCTCTCTACAGAGAGTGACATCCTGCATCCACTCAGTCCCCATCCAGCCAGCTTCACTAGTAATGCTATCTGGCAAGTTTCTGTTCCTCCTCTTTTCCTTGCGTGAAATGTCTTCCTTTCTTTGCCGGCCTAGATATTTATTTTCTTCATAAATTTCCCTAAGTTGTAACTGTAGTGCATATGTTATTTATTTTTTTGTGTGTGCGTGTGTTTTTGTTATTTATTTTTGTCTATTCTTTTTTATTATATTTTTATTTATTTTTAAAATATATTTTTATTGCTTTCAGAGAGAAAGGGAGAGGGAGAGATAGACACTTCAATGATGAGAATCACCGATTGACTGCCTCTTACACGCCCCACATGGGGACTGAGCCTGCAACCCGGGCATATGCCATGACCAGGAATTGAACCGGTGACCTCTTGATTCATAGGCCAATGCTCAACCACTGAGTCACGCCAGCTGCACTTGTCTATTCTTAACGTTTAACTGAACAAATAGAAACTTTTAGTTTTGTCTTTATTTCATATCACTTCCATACCAAACAATATGCCTTTAAATTAGTCTTTGACCAAGGATAAAAATATCCTTAGCATACATCCA